CTATCCTGAGCAGTATGTTGATATCAGGACAATTTTCTTAAACTCCGCAATTAGGAAGTGTAGGGTCTGGCAACAATAAATTTTTGATTGCTACTGACTTGGACTGCTCGAGTAAGAACATAAATATATGTGCATCACATAGATCACATTTTAGGGGAGGGAGGGGATCACCTAGTTACCTCGACATAGAAGAGTGTGATGTAATAAACCCATTGGCATAATGCTTTCTATGTCATGTGCTCGACGGTACTGTGATTATAGAAACCTAAGTATGTGCCTGGTAAGGGCTCCACGTGTCACATAATGTGGTCTGCTGGTTCATGAGTATTTCTGAACCGCGGTTCAGTTCAGTTCGGTTCCAATGGTTTAATTTTTTGAATGCCAAAGGATGCAAATATTACAAAAATATGATAAATCTACGTACATATATACAAATAAAGGCTTTTTTATTGAGGTCAAATTCAAATATCCACATGTATAGTGGAACTGAATTGATCGAAGTTTAAAAAATTGTGCAAAAATTATGAAAATTCTTCAAAGTTTCATCTAACTTGCAAAGGTTTTTAATAAGAATTTCTAGAAAAAAAAAATTAATTTCCCAACAAAACATTGAGTTGGATTTCACTTTCTCTCTTGTTACTATGGTGTTCATTTTTTTCGAACCCATTTCGAGTGTGTTTCCAATTTACTCTGAACGTTGGAAAACAAAGATTGTTTATGAGTTAATTCTCACTTTGATATTCATATTGGATATCGAAGGGCATTTTCGAAAGTTGGACAAAATGTTTATACGGTTGATTTTTGGTAATTTTTTTCACGGATTTTCTTCCATACATTTATGTTCGGCAAATTTTTTGTATGAAAAAAAAAAATAATAATGAGTGGTATTCTGGTGTTCGTACGAATCGAAAATTTTAATTTTTTGTATTGAAAATGATAGGAAAATTTCATGATTTTCGATTCGTACGTAAACAAGAATACGCCCCAATATCCACAAGTATAGTGGTGGAAAATAAATAAGGACGCGATATTTTTAAAATTTTGCCAATTTTTTTATTTAATGTTTATTGTTTGTAGTATAATCCTTGCAAACTTTTTAATATTGATTTCTAGAAAATAATTTTTAAGTTTTAAGTTCATTTTCGGCAATTTTTTCACGGATTTTCATGTGCATACATGTATGTATGTTCGACACATTTTTTGTATAAAAAAAAAAAATAGTAATACACTCAACAAAAAATTGTTTAAAATCAACGCGGTCAATGCGAAATTAGAAAAGTTGTAATAAACTTATTTAAGGCTTGGACAAGTCGTGAGTCTAGTCGAGTAGACAAAAACAATACATTCAGAATTTTGAATTAACACTCAAAATCTTGGCTTAATGTTGAAACCCTCCTTTTCGGTAGGTGTAGCTTACACTAGGCCTTAACCTCATATGTAGATGTATACCTCTGGTCAAAATAATATGAGTGCGATATTTGACTATTTTACTTTTGTTTCTTTAATTATAAGTTCATTATTTTATTATAAATGTATAGCTCCTTATATAACAACAACCATATCCAAATATCAAGCTTTGTAAATTAGAAAAAATCTACGAATTTCAACAAAATTTCATTGTGGCATAAACTTTTTAATCAGAAATAAAAAATCCGAGTATTTTTTTTGTCATTTATAAAAATATGGTTGAAGCTTTAACCAAACTATATAATTTTCTTAGCTCTGTATTTTAACCTGAACTCACCCCAACTCACCACACCTCAACTCACCTCACTTCATCTCACCTCAAGGGTTATAGCAATAAACTGGTCACACGTTGCTTTCACCGCTGGGTTGGAGCAAAATAACATGAGTAAGTTGTTTTCATAAAAATTGAAAGCGTGCGTGATTTTAAACGAATGCCCGTTTATAAACATGCATACATACATATGAATTATCCATCGAATTGAAATCGCATTACATTTCCCAAATACACGTACATTGCTCATGCATTTTATAAATAAAATGTAAATTTAATCTGAAATTCATAGAAAACTTCACTTTCAATGCACTCTGTCGTTGGCTAGTGGATGAGCAAATTTTTTCGTACGAGCATTTCGTCGCTGATCCAACTAACTCATACGCATAGACGCATAGACGTAGGAAATGCGCAATGAAATGAGATGCTTCACGCTATGTGAAACCATAACATCAACAACAATGGCTACATTTATGTGGAACTACAAAATACATGCAACATACATAAACTTGCAACAAAAAGATGCACCGACCAAATACCTTGTTTATGTTTACGTGAAATTTTGCGTTCCGTTGCACCACGAACGCTTTCTCGCATTGCTAATGTTATGTCTATGTTGATATTCTATGCAGCTGTTGTACATACTTATGTATATATGTATGTAGATTAGTATGCTTGTAGCAATAACATTAACATTAGCCCCTTACTGCAACATAATGCTGCTGGAGTTTGTTGCGTAAACAAGCGTATTTTCTTCTCTCTCTTGCAATACGATGCAAATTTGCATTTCCCTTGCTATGCAGATTCGCTCCACACACCAACAATAATACTGAATATCAGATTTCTTAAAAATACAATTTTCTTAATGCTAGTATAATGTGCTGTTTATGGTAAAAGTAAAAAGTTATAAAACACTGTCCAGTATGTTCACTTGATTTCGTATGGTTAAGAAAAGGACTTTTGCAACATTGAAAATGTAATACGAAGACTAAATACTTGGAGCTAAATTCACAGTGCGTGGTCAACTCAGAATTGGCAGTAAAAACAAAGATAAATATGAGGATGAGGATACCGATAAAAGTAAAGATGAAGATAGAGAAAGAAAGATTAAAATAAAGGTAACTATAAAGAAAATGATATGGGCAGACACTCAATCTGGGGGCTATTTCGGGATTCTAGAGATCTTCGGAATGCTCGGAACTTATCGATATAATAATCGATATTTTATCGGTTTTGTTATTGACATTTTTTATCGATTTTGTTATCGAAAATTTTATCGATATTGTTATTGATTTGGCTATCGATATTTTCGGAGCTTATCGATATAATAAACGATATTTTGTTATCGATTTTGTAAAAGATTTTTTACAGATGTAGTTGATAATGTTATCAATTTTGTTATCGATATTTTTATCGATTTTGTTATCAATTTTGTTATCGATTTTGCTATCGATATTATTATCGATTTTGTTATCGATATTTTTATCGATTTTGTTATAGCCTTTTTTTTTGATTTTGCAACCGATATTATTCTGGCTTTTGTTATCGATATTTTTTTCTAAGTGTGTGCTTTCGTTTTTGACTTGGATGTGCTCTTAACCATACCACGTATTCTACGTTTAAATTTAGCAGCTGTGTCTCCGATACAGCCTGTAGACCAAGACGAAGGCGCTGGACTGTTCGTTTTTTTATTATGGTTCGACCATTGAAACTTCAACAGGAATTACGCTTTGTCTGACTAAGGCCGAAAGGTCATAATTTTCAAGGCAGAGTCCGACATTCTGAGTCTGCCATCACACCTATGCGGTACATGCGCTCGGTTTTAAACGGATAGGTACCTAAAGACTAGCCTGATTTCATTAATATGTATTAGAATAACATATTTTCAATTAAAAGAATATCCAGACCTGTCTATGACGCCCTACAGCGTCCCAGTACTTAATGCGTCCAGAGTCGATCCACGAAGAGCAGCATCTGAGACCACAAAATAGTTCCGGTACTTCAAAGAAAATTACAGATCCTTCTAGTGACAACTCATTAGCGGCCTGGTTAAAAGATCGTCTACCACAACGTGACCAAAAAAATGGGAAAGACCCCTCCCTCTCTTCCTTTTCTTAAATGCTCATACCCAGCAGAAAATTTCAGGAGTTGAAAGCCCTTCCGAAAGACCTTCCTGAGGGTCGAGAGACCTTCCACCGTACATTCCTTGCTCCTTTCTTTTTTCTGTGGAGTGGCACAAATTAAAGGGCTTCTTATTTCGCTACCTATGGAAGGCCTTCCAGAAGGGCTTTTATAGGACGTACTTCAGAAGGCCTTAAGGTTTATATCAAATAGGTTTATTGAAGTTCATTTTTAATGCTAAATAATATAAAATTATGCATTCGCGTAAATTGTAAATGGATCAGCCCTTCTAGAAGGCATGCAAGGAAGAACTTTTTTCAGCCGTTCTTGGGTAATTATGTGAAAAATTAGCTGATTGGGAACATTTTTTTTATGAAACTTTTCATTTTCAAAACACTTTTGGAATATAAACCCGAAACCCGTATTTCTATAAATTTTTCGAATTTTTATTATAAAATATGTGTTCATACCCAAAAACCACGTACTGATCACTTTCTTGGACATTTTTTCTAAAAGACCGTAACCCATTCCGCAAATTTTAGGTGTAGTGCGATAATGGGATAACATTGAGGTCTTTCTTTTTCGAATGTTCAAGTTAATGAAAAAGAAAACAAATTTTATCCAACTACACGAGACGAACGCAGACTGCGTCAAAATAAATGCATTAATCTATGAGATATTAAAATTTGAAAATTTCATAAAAATTTCATTGAAATACATGTTGGAAAATTATATATGTATATTTCAAAGGTGTTTTAAGATTTAAAAACTAAAAATTAAAAAAGGTCCCAATCTAGCTATCTTCGTTAAGTTTTGTGCATTTAAAAAAAGTAACGGCTGTTTTTTCAAAAATCAATATCTCGAAAATGGCGCGGGGAAAAATTGCAATCGGCAAAAGCAAAGCAAAATGGTGCCCCAATTGGGCTGGAATGCCCGATAGATAGATATTTGAAAGAGGTATGCACCGCGATCTAGTGGATCTGTTGTGCCCTGAAAATGCCCCATATGCTTTTATTACTGTGCTGCGGCCAAAAGCTAGTTTTTCGTACGAGTTAACTCGTAAACAAATTAATTAATAACAATCTTGTGTGTTCATTAATAGCATTGCCATAAATTGCGGTAATTTTAATTTTTATTTCAGAGTCTTGGATTTCCGCTTGCATCCTTGGTTGCCATCAATCGTACCACAGCTGAATTGCGCTATCTCCAAGGCAGCACTTGCCCCACCGACAGCAAGTCACAACTCTCATCGAGCATTGAATTTTACTGTGATATGCGCGCTGGTTTGGTAAGTGGCTTATATGTATGTACTTAATTTTGAATACAAGTAAATATAAATACATACATACATACATATGTAAGTAGGCATGTAAGTCCATAGGTATCTTCACGTACAATAAGTACGTGGATAATATTGCATGCGTATTGCTGATTAAAGACAACGTAATTTGTAGGGATTTCATAAAGTAGGAAAGTTTTTAATTTTACTTATACATAATCCTTTTCCATTGCTATCCTACTCCGTGTGCGTTAAGTAAATTTTGCGCGTAAAATGTTAATTTATGTACACTTGTGGTCAGCTGCTTAAGTTAAGTGACATTTTGACCAGTTTTGGCTATTTTTATATTTTGTTTATTTAGTGTTTATAATTTTATTATTACTTTTTTTTTTAATTCTAACATATTAGGTACACAAAAATCCACATTTCACATTTCGCAGGTATGCTAGAAAATTGCGCTGTCGGAAAGTTATGTATAAACGTTTTATGTAGAATTTTATTAGCTTTGATTTGACCTATCTCATTTTAAGTTAAATTTGTTCGTAAGATATACGTGATTAAGTGGAAACACTTTTTGTTTGTTTGTTTCCAAAAAATTTAGGAAAATTTAGTATTTTTATCTTTTTGATCAATGCATTTGTTTTGAAGCGGTGAGAGTTATTGGCGTTGAGTTGTACAAAATTTGTTGCTTTTTTAATTAATTAAAAAACTGGGGAAAAGTAGATCCCATTGTTATGCCATTATCGTGCTTTGCTTAAAAGTTGGGGAATTACAAAAAAAAATCGATCAGTACGTGATTTTTTGTAAATCATCATTTTATATTAAAAATTTGAAAATTTTATAGAAGTACGGGTTTGAAAATTTTTTCTATTTTATATTTCAAAGCTTTTGAACTTAAAAAAAATAATTGGCAAATTTTTCGCCAATATTATGGGCATTTAAAAAGAGTTAACGAATCGATTGCTTAAAACGGCGGCACAAAAAAAAAAATAGATAAAATAAAATAAAGAAGCGATCTCTCAATTGGTACTACTAAAAAAAAAGTCGTGAAAAAATCTGAGATGCAAAAGCCGAATGGTGTCCGAATTTGGCTGGAATGCCACATAACACATACGTATGTACATATGTAACCCAAATATAACTTTATATTATTGCTATAATTCTTGCAAACGGATTACATATTGCCAATGGTATCACCAATTACAATTGCACACAATGCCAACAATGCTTTCACCGCACTCAACTGCGTTGTGAGAAGCACTTTTGTTGCGGCAGTCGACACCGCAGCGATTGTTATAACATACATACATACATATGTACATACATATTATCGTTGTTATTGCAATTTGTTGCAGTGCTTACTGTAACTGTTGAATTGTAATTTAATATAGTTGGAATACACATTTAGTCCACTTTTTGCTGGCCGTACGACCGCAACAGCTGTGACTATTTGTTTTTGGTTGGTCAGTTGGGCGGTTGACGGGAGTGTGCTGCTGCTGCTGCTGTTAATGTGCATGCGAGTGAGGGTGTATTACCTTGAAATGGCAGCGACCTTTGCGGTTATGGATCGTAGTTGAGGTTAGGACAAGCGATTTTCTGCTTGGCGCCAGTGTTCAATGCAGCGTGATTATTACTGATTAATTGCGAAACGAAGGGCTTTAAATTTCAACTGAAAACAAAAACGGAAAAATAAAATATGAAAGAATAAAATTTGCGATCCAGCAGCTTTGTTTTTTGAACTATGGATTCCGCTAAATAGGGAAGCTAGTTGAGTCGAGGAAAATAACAGAACTTTTTGCGGACTCAGCTCGTATTCAGTTCTTTTCATTGAAAATCAAACAAACTTAATTCTTGTCTTAACAGACCCATAGTAAACTATAAAAAACATTTTTTTCGTTGAAAACATTAAGCCCTTCAATCGAACCATAACGGCTCTTTTTGAGCTGAGTTTGAAGAAGTTCCTTATGAACCCTTTAAAGCTGCTATGTTCTACAAAATTGTTAAGCAGGAAATTTTACAAAGCTCAATGCCGATGCAAATCTCTTTCGATCAAATTAAAGTAAAATAACCAACCAAAATCTGAAGAAAAAACAACGAAATTGAAAACAAAAAACAACCAAATTTGTTGTCCACTTATCTATTACGAAAAGCAAAACTTATTACAAAAAGAAAAAAAAAACAAAAATTCAACGATTTTATTGAGCTTGAAGCCTTATTTTTTCAATGCAAATTTTGTGACAAAAACAACATTAATTTGCATTTTGGTAGAAGTCGTAACCGTAGTGCGCGATAGAACTTTATCTTAATTTGAGCGGTAATATTTTGAGTGGGTGTAGATTAAGAAATTTTGAATGCATCGAGTTCTTTTCTTAAGAGATTCATTGTAAAATTAAGTTAACAAATTTTGCTCATAAAAAGTGCTAACTTTTGATCAGACGACCCCTAGTAAAATATTCTGCTTAACATTTCTTTAGAATAAAGGCTCGATATGCCTGTACATCTGTATATCCGAAGATACCAAGCTTTTCAGGCAATCAGCGCTCCATGAACCTAATATTTTTTACTAAAGTTTTTTGGAGTTTTTGTATATATTGAACAAACTTTGAAATTTGAATTTTTTTGAGCTCTTTTAAAGAAAGAACCATATTTTTATAAAAAATAACAAAAAAAAAAAAATAATAATAATATGTTAAAACTAGTCATGTAAACTAGTGACAAGAAAATATATCAGAAACTCAACGCTTGAAGGAAACATTTCTGCATAAAAAAAAATATTTTGAATATTTTGTCGCTTACGTCTTTTTGGCGGTTAAGGCTCGATGTATATATTAAATTTTAATTTCATTTACAGCTAAAGTATTTATTTTTCAACTGAGGTTTCAGCGCACACGAACGCAGTTTGTTCCGTTTACTTTTCAACCCTACAAACATACTTTTTAATAACCCACTTATCTTACATTAAACTCTTACGAATTTTAAATTTCATTTTCTCATATCTCATTTGATTACAGGGCACACCGCGTTTACAGACAATCACCGATTGCCATTATCAATTCCAGTGGGCCACAAACGTCATTTGCCCCTCTCACATGTGCAATTTTAATGAAGAGACATGCGAAATAATTAACGATGACATCAGCGAAAGATACAATCTGAAAAAGGCACTCTTCGCCGCGGATGGAAAAGTAAAGGTGAGTGAGTTTACGTACACATTTGTAACTGAGTGGAGAGAGCATGAAAACAATTTACGTTCGAAGAGTGTGAGGCTCCTTAAATTATCATTATATTCTTTTTTTTTCTTATTTTTCGTCAGATTTCCAATCGTAAAAATGAGTTTACGCTCGACTTTTGTGGCACGCATCGCAAAGCGGAAACAGATTATTCTCAGGGCTTGGTAAATTTGTTCTTTAGTGCGGAAACGCCGTGTGGTGAGTGAAATATTTATGATTTTGTATTCATATTGTATATCAAAAACAGGGCAGTAAAGTTAGGACTCATTTGGAAAAAATAATTTTGGTTTGTATTGACGAGTCGCTGCCGAAAAAAACGTTGTTGCGACTGGAAAACGTCTAAGGCAAAGAACATGGTGACGCGACAAAGAGAGCGACAAGACGTTTTCCGATAATAGCGAAGAAAGAGACAAGAAGCGTCAAAACATAGTGAAGCTCAGAAAGCAACGAAAACAAATTTTTTTGTTTTCGTCGCTATGCTCTTTGTCGCTTTCTTCGCTTTTCGCTTCACTATGTGCTGCCACATTGAAAAATAAAGGTTTGTTTTTGTCGCTATTATCCGAAGATGTCTTGTCGCTCTCTTTGTCGCGTCACTATGTTCTTTGCCTTAGGTGGAAAAGAAACATTTGCATAAAGAAACAATTATAGAAAAGGAATTTTCTTACACTGTATTCATGTCGCCGCCAACAATTTGTGACACAGTTGAAAAGGAGAACGACCACACTATTGGTAAGATGGCACATTTAAATCACTGTGCCAAAATGCGGGTATAAGCAATTATTGATATTACACTGTACAGCACTCGGCTGGGTATTGAACCTAACCAACCTTTTTTAAGAGATTAAGTCATAAGTAAAGAAAAAAATAAGTTCTCCACTTTTTGAAGTTAGCTTCCGAAATCGAGATTTGGGCCTTCGAAGTTCGAAATTGGACCTTTGGTAAAAAATTATTTTTAATTATTGCATGTAAAAAGCAAAAAAAAGTAAAAATACAGACGTGGTCCGGCTTTTTCTCGTATTTATATGGTCTATAACCTTTTTGTGAAAACTTATATTACAGGTACTCTAACGGGTCAAGGGTCAGATCTTCGAAAAATTAAAAACTTAAAACTTAAAAGGAAAAAAATAACTTTTTTTATCAAAAAATATTTTAAACAAACAAATTTATACTTTGTATACTTTGTATATAAAAATTGGAGAAAAAACACTTAAATCGAAAAAATATCAGTTTTTTTCATATAAAAAAAAATTTACAAAAAGTTACTAATTAGTAATACAATTAAATACCGGATTTCAATAAAACAAATAATTTACAGCGTTTTAAGCGTTAATTCGTTCTTGTTCACCCACAGCCCTGTTAAAAATAAAGCAAAAGTACACTTGTGATCAGGTAATTAAGCCAGCAAGATTTTGATAAATTTTGGCTATTTTGCTTTCGTTTATTTAATGTTTATTATTTTTCCATAAAAGTATAGCTCATTATATAACAAACACCATATAAATCAAAATTTCAAAAATATCTGCAAAGTTTCAGCTAAATTTCCATTTTTTCGAGTATGCAGTTAATAACCTACTAAATTGGGGTAATAATGTGCAAGTCCTAAGTTGCTAAAAAATCGCGTTGATTTTTAATAATTTTTTTCTGACTGAAAAATATTAAACATTAAATAAACAAAAGAAAAATAGCCGAAATTGATCAAAATGTTGATGGCTTAATTAGCTGATCACAAGTGTATACGTAACAGAAGTCTAAGGCATATAAAAACACCATGGTTTTTGATTTTTGACATAACAGGTTTTATATAAAAATTAAAGATAATTTTCTGTTTTATTTACATAAATACAGTATTCAGTTGTATTACTAATTAGTAATTTTTTTTTATAAGAAAAAATTGGTATGTTTTCCTTTTAAGTGTTTTTCTCAAATTTTTATATACGAACTATACAAGTATGCATATAAGGAGAAAGGGGGTTTAATCGCCCTTACAACGGTATCAATTTTTTAAGATTCGGTTGGTAATTTTTTGCTTTAAAATATTTTTTTTATAAAAAAAGTTATTTTTTCCTTTAAATGTGGTTTTTCTCAAATTTTTATTCACGATGTATACAAATATGCATTTCAAAAGTAAGGGGTTTAATCGCCTTTATAGCGATACCAATTTTTTTAAAATTGTTTAGTATTTTTTTGTCTAAATATTTTTTTATATATATTGTTTCCTTTAAATGTGTTTTTTTTTTGTTAATTCTTTTTTACGAAGTATACAAATACGAGCTTTAGAAGAATGGGAGTTTATTCGCCTTTCCCACGATACCAACCTTTTAAAAATTGGTTAGTAATTTTTTTATTTAAAATACTTTTCTTTTATAAAAAATGTATTTTTTCATTTAAATGTGTTTTTTCTAAAATTTTTATATTCGAAGTATACAAATATGTACATCGAAAGAAACGGAGTTCAATCACCGTTACAATGACATAATTTTTAAAAATCAGTTCAAAATTGTTTGAAATATAAGGAATTTAATTTTTCGAAGACCTGAACTTTGACCCTTTATAGCTTCTGTAATGTAAGTTTGCACAAAAAAAGTTATACACCATATAAATAAGAGAAAAAGGCGGACCACGTCTGTATTTTTACTTTGTTTGCTTTTTACATCCAATAATTAAAATTAATTTTTTACCAAAGGTCCAATTTCGCGGGCTAACTTCGAAAAACGGAGAAATTACTTTTTTACCCATGACTCAATCTCTTTAAAAAAAAAAAATTGGTTTGGTTCAATAACCAGAAAAAGAGTTGATTTTACCCTACAGTGTTATTGGATATCGAAACCGAAATTCTTTAAGTTGATTGCTTGGTTTTCAAACACTTTTGAAACACTTAACGACGATGGGGCACGACGACGCAATAATGTCAACGGATTTATTTCGCTTTTGAACGGGTAATAATGCCAATTGATTTTATTTCGTACCAATATGCGAAATAGTGTCAATTGACCTTTTTTTATTTGAGTTGGTTACCTGTCACCGAAAATGTTTGTCCCGCTTTGGCTCTTAAAGAACTGCACTGATTTCAATAATCCTTTTTTTGAAATAAGCTATTTATGAAAAACAACTGAGTGGCATACGTATTTTTTTAATCTTGAATGTAAGTGTAAAGTATATGTTGTTTTCTATTTTTTGCGAACAATATCAAAAAAGAAAAATATTAAATTAATACACCTTTGATGCAAGTGCGTAATATGTAGTCTCGATAATTTGCCTTCCTTCTAAAAACCTTCAAAACAATATTAATTAAGGGCCAATTTTTAAGTGTACGGCTAAGATTAGCAATCAAATGACAGCCAGCTGTTCGGTTTAAACTCAGTTTACTTAATATAAGTTTAAACTGCACTGAAAAAATGCCCCTAAGTGTGTCAGCAAAAAAAAATATATGTTTAAGTTATGTTTTGACCAGAGTCAGTCCGCAATTTGGAGTAAATATTCCTCTCCTGCCCCACCCATATATTGAAACCGGCAAACCCGACTTTTTATAAATTGTGACGAGCACAGTTCTTGTAAATGCGTTCCAAGCTCTCTCGTAGGTGGGGTGTTTGGCCGCTGCACCCTCTTCCCCCCTTTCTTTGCTTGCCCCGTCCAGCACATTTCTTGGAGGGCGGTAATGTCAGCCTTAGCATTCCTTAGACGGGCAGAGGCATCTTCCACATTAAAGGTACGGACATTTCAGGTGCAAGCTCTCAAATCTCTTTATTATCCTTTTCATTGGAACTTAATTTTAGGTACTACAAGTAGAGCATAACCAGGAAATTTTTGAGTACACGTTTAATAGCGAAACGCTTGCCCCAACACAGACGTCCGCTTGCTGAAAAAGGCACCGCTGGCTCCAGTGAGCCTTTAAACTGAATAAGTCGGAGTGCCTGCACTCCCTCTGCCGGGACGTATGGCTTCAAACGTATGGGTTATTGCATCACGCAAACGGGGACGCAAGTGTCGGAGATATAGTCATAGTATAGTTGTGCCACTATAACTGCATACCCAGAAGAACGACCATACACCAATCCCCCGCCATGTGTTTACTCCTTTAAATTATGTAAAATGTGAAATTTGCGGTTTGAACATTCATCCGCCCAGCACACTCGATGGCAAAGTGAAATGTTTGATTTATTTACCGCAATGTTGCAGCCTGATTACTTTATCCGGTTCGCAAGTGCTTGAGCTCTCACTTTCCTTCCTTTAAGTCAAGCGCATTTAACATTTAATCGCTCTTCTTCTCTTCTTTTTCCTAAACTTACTTATGCCACTCATTCGTCTGCTTAAGTAATCTGCAAATCACATTAGACTTGGCAATTGTCCCGTTGCGCTTGTTTTGCTTTCTGCGTTTATCTCGCTGTTTCGCGCTTTGGCGCTGCCCTACGGATATTATCGTATAGCGCGTCTCCTAAACTCTGTGTCTCGGATGCTTACATGGCGACAATGTCTGGCGCATTGCCACATGCTGAAAGGGATATAAAGGGTGATTATTTTACTTACATATTTGCAAGGCAGTTTTTTCTTTTTTTTTGTCTTCCCTTTAAAGCTGTAGAAAGCATAAGAATACTTATAGAACCCTTCTAAAAATTCTTCTTCTGTAATAAAAATCTAATGATTTATTGAGCTGTGTTTTTTTTAAGTTTCTATTTTCCGTGAATACCCATATGTCACAAAGAAAACGTTACTTTATAGAGTAAAAAATATTTTACTTACCAGCGGCCTTAATGGAAGCCCCTTTTTGCTTTTGAGTTGTAAGTAAAAATCACATTTTCCAGCAATGTTCTGAAGCGTTTTCTTGCATATGCAAGCCGGATGACTGTATATTTTTTTACTTCCTGTTTGTTGCGCACACTTTAGCCTGTCTACCGCCGGTTCCTTGCTGGCAGCCTCCAGAACTTACTTGCTGTTTTTCCATAGCATGTTATGCCACCAGCGCTTCTCTTGCCACCATATGCATTTAAGCTACGCGACCCCGCTTAGCATCAATGCTGTTGCAGTTCAGCATTCTTCATTTCATTACATTTCTCTTTACCTTTCGTAACCGCCGCTATGCATATTTTTGCAGGAATCTCTCGATTGTTGAGTAAAAAACCAATGAAAAAAATATAGCGCAAGCAGCAGGATTTTAAAACTGAAATCCGCTAGATAATGAAAAAAACTTGCCTCTTTTCCGC